CATAAAAGAGTGCTATTGTTGCTAAGGGTGTTAAATAAACAGTGATCACAGGCAATTAAAGAGGTAGGAAAACTATGGCTAAACAAAAGCAGTTAGCCTGGTGACAGCATTGCGGAGGTAGTGATAAATGAAAAGCAAAGACACTGTAGGCTGACTTCCTGAGAGACACCCCTGGAACGAGTGCTGAAAGTGATTTATTTAAGGCTAGTAGGGCGTGGTTTGATAAATTTAAGAAAATAAGTGTTTATAGATTTAACAGTATATTAAGCATGTACTGTATATAAGAAAGGTTAAAACAGAATCATTTGGGGGTCTAGAAAGAATTAATTCAACTAACATTACTTGTAATGGGAAAAACATGATTTGGTTTTTGAACATATCCCTTCTTGAACAGCCTTCTGGAACAAATTAAGTTTGAGACCTGAGGTTCCATTGTATTGAACCCCACATACTGCAGTTGCCTGACTATATAGTCTTTTCAAGTACACATGGAACTTTTAACAAAATCAGTCATGTTGGACCATAAAGCAAATTCCTACAAATTTCAAAAGATTGGAAAATATTGAGGATATATTCTTTGAGCAGAATTAAACTAAGCTACAAATCAACATAAAGATAACTAAACAATTCTCATATGTCATATGTTTGGAAATTAAGTAATATACTTCTTTTTTGTTAATCCTTACCTGAGGATATTTTTTTCCATTGATTTTTTAGAGGGTGGGGGGAGAAACATTGATGTGAGAGAGAAAAATTAATCAGTTACCTCCTGCATGTACCCCAACCGGGGCCAAGGATTGAACCTGCAACCCAGGTATGTGCCCTTGACCGGGAATTGAACCCATGAACCTTCCATGTGCAGGCTGATGCTCTAACCACTGAGTCACACTGGTCAGGGTGCAGTGTACTTCAAAATTACATCAAAACTGGAAAAATATTTTTAGTTCAATGATAATAAAATTAAAACAGCAAAAGTGTGGCTATACCTAAAATTGTGATTAGAGGAATATTTAAAGCTTTAAATTATATATTAGAAAAGGTACAAGGATAGAAATGATCTAAACTGCCATCTCTAGAAAGTAGGGAAAAATAACCCTTGGAAGTTAAATCCAAAGACAGCAAAAGGAAGATAATAAGGAGAAATAAATGAAATCAAAAGCATTTGTACAAGAGATAAAAATGTACAAAGGCACATTTTAGCTCTTTGAAAAATAACCTAAAACAATAAACTCTTAGCAAGTGATCATATCTTTAACAAACAAAAAGTGTTATTATTCAAGAAGAAATATGCTCATGTCATTGCAGGTACTGTATACATTATAAGGAAAATAAAATGCTATCACAAATACCTTGAGACCAATAAATTTGACAACTTAGATTAATTGGACAAATTTTAACAGAAACACAACTTGGCTAAACTCCATTAAGAAAAAATAGAAAATAGAATCATATTTTTTAAAGTAGAATCTGTAATTGAAAATTCCTACAGTCCAGCCAGTGTGTCTCAGTGGTTGAGCATCAACCCATGCACCAAAAGGTCGCCAGTTTGATGTCCAGTCAGGGTACATGCACAGGTTGTGGGCCAAATCCCCAGTGTGGGGCATGCAGGAGGCAGCCAGTCGATGGTCTCTCTCATCGATGTTTCTGTCTCTCTCTGCCTCTCCCTTTCTCTCTCTGTAAAATCAATAAAGAAAGAAAATAAAATATTGACATGTTGTACTAATGATTAAAAAATTAAAAAATACATCATGATAAGTTGGTTTTTATTTCATGAATGCAAAGTTGGTTTATCATTCAAAAATCAGTGTAATTCACTACATTGAACAAGAAAAAAATGTGATCATCTCAATAAATAGAGGAAAAGCATTAGAATTCAAAATCCATTTATTATTCAAACAAAGAAGATATTTGTAATTCATATATCTAGCTTGGATACCATATATTAAAAGCATTTACAAATCAATAAGCAAGATGATCAGCTCTAGAAAAATGATTTAAGCAGCACTTCCCAAAAGAGGATTTCTAAATGACCAGCAAACATAGGAAAGGGTGATCAGCTTTACTAATCATCAGTTAAATGCAAATTGAAACCATAGTGAGATATATGCCCACTAGAATGGCTAAAGTGAAAAACATTTTAACAAGGATTAGAGCAACTGGAACTTTATCTATTACTGGTAGGAGTATAAGTTGACCTACTCCTGAGATTCTTTGGCAGTATGTATTAAACTGGAACATAAGCATTCTCTTCACTTTTGGCAGTTCCACTTTAATATATATGCTTAATAAGATATACATAGATATTTTTGGCCAAAGACAAATAAAAGAACATTTTTGTCAGCACTATTTGAAATATCCCCAAAATGGAAAGAAATCTAAATGTCCATTAGCAATAGAATGAGTAAATTGTAGTATATTTGTATAATGGAATGCTATACAGAAATGAGATTAAACTGTTGGTACTCACAAACATCAAGTTCAAAATTGATGAAACTAACTCATGGTATGCATGTTATATGATACCATTTATATAAGGTTCAAAAGCAATAAAACTATAGTGATACAAGTGAAACGCATAGTTTCTGGGAGTGCCTTGAGGGAAATATTATATTGATAGTGATATCTACTTCTTGGTTTGGGTCCTGGTAATAAGTGTACATTTATTTTGTCAAAGTCTGTGACTTAGGATTTGTATACTTTTTTGTATGTATGTCATACTTCAATAACATTTTATTTAAAATACACAAGGAGCCCTGGCCGATTTGGCTCAATGGTTGGAGTGTCGGCCTGTGGACCAGAGAGTCCCAGGTTCTTCCCACTGGGGTATGTTCCAAAAAAAAAAAAAAAAATACACAAGGAAGTTAATTTGGAGGGAAAATAATTCTAAAACATTATTTTTACAAAGAAAACTTAAATTTTTAAGTTGAAAATATTCAAATTAATTTTTCCTTGATTTCAAGAAATAGGATTTTTAGCATATATGCTTTAGATTAGTTGGTTTAAAATCATTATTTTAAAGTTTTTGTTTAATACCCTCAAATATATTGTTATTATTTGCTTTCTTGAGTCTTAACTATTAACATTTCTAATGCTCTAGGGATAGCCATTCCTTTTACATAAATAGATTATATATGTGAGTTTGTGTATTATAGTGATAGTAAGAAGTTTAGCCAAAATATATTTTGTTTTAATCATTGCAGCAAGCATTATTTTATTTCTTTAACAATTTATTGAACATTTGCCATTTACCAGATATTTTGCTGTGTATGTTTATCTGTAACTTAATCTTTACAATAACACTCTGAGATAGAAAGGTGATACTCCTCTTGAAAATATGAAATAACCTAATCCATATAGTGATTATACAAAATTTTAACTTGTATCCTCTAAATCAAGGTTAAGTGTCTTTTCTATTCCACCTTAGACCTAGAAATACTTTTCAGAGAATCTTATGTAATTTAAGGGTGCTAGAATATAGAGTATATGCAGTTGAATGATGCATGATGATATAAAACTTATGTCTTCCCTTACTCAAAACTCTCTGGTGGCTTCCCTTTGCTGTCAGGACAAGACCCAAATTCTGTAACTTAGTACCAAAGTCCCTTATAATGTTAGCTTTTTCAGCCATATCAGATTAATGTTAGTTTGCCCAATTTTGTAATTCTTTTTTTACTGTGCCTAAAAGATGCTCTTCTTGCTTTCTTTTCTCATGTACTGGTATTTGTTTTCCAACAGTTAGATTAAACATCAAGTCTTCTCAAGGTCGTTAGTCGTTACCCAGTCCCATCATTCCAAATCTAGCTGTTTCACTTCTGTAATTCCATAACACTGAATACATCTGTTGTTTCTGTTCTACTTATCTCCACACACTAAAATGACTAGTCTTAGCATTAGTCTTAGGGTAAGAACTATCTCTTATTTGATTTGTTTCCCTATTACCTAGCACGTAAGTGACAAATGCACTAACATAAGACTGTAAGGAGAAATTAGAATCAATTCAAGTAATATCTTAAATGTTAGACTCAGGAATGCTTATGCCTTTTGTTTGACGTTTGCTGATTAACCACTGAAGGTTTTTTAGTATAATAAATTAGACTATATATACTTTATAGTATATTAAATGAAGAAAAATAGATGTGGGAAAATGAATCAAGAAGCTGTTGGAATTGTCCAAGTGGGTAGTGATATAGGTTTAAACTAGGGTGATGGCACTGAGAACAGGAAAGAAAAAATAGAGTATACTTGACTAAAAGAACTTGACACTGATTGAATGCAGATAGGAGGAGAGAGTGCTGTACACAGTGTCGGATTAGGGAAGGAGAATGATGCAGGAGAAGGAAAGGTCAAAAAAGAAATTTACAGGAAAGGTTTTTTCTCAGAGATGATACCTCATATTTTTAATTTTTGAGAATTCAAATCTTAATGAAAGCCATTCTTTTGCAGTTACACAAACTATTGTTAGTAAGATATGATATCAGATAACACTATTGAAGTAAGTAAAAAAGAGCTAGACACTAACCCTGGGCTAATCTGTGTGTGTCTCTGCCTTTAGCTTGACATCAGTGTTTAGTTGAACTTCCCTAAAGTTTACATAAATATTGAAGCATTCTTATGCTTCAGAAATTACTGACAATTATAACTCATATCAAATCAGTAGAATTTCTAATGGTACCTGTTAAATGTTAACATACATTTAAGTCCCTTTTCTCTTGCCCAAATTCCACTTTTACATGAAGAGATTTCTAACAGGAAGGAAAGCATTAGCCTGATACCACTACCTTCAGTCTTTACCCAATTATTTTTTGGGGATATTTCTAGTGGGAGAGACTGGAAACTAACATCCCATTTATTTATACTGTCATCTTTAACTATGATTCCCTTTCCCCCTACCTCTCAGAACTAGTCTCATAAAAGTTCAGGGAAATAAAATGTAGTTCCTCTTAAAGAATTGGTTAAAGATGTTTGAACATATTTGGAAACAAAAATTATCTTTCATTTAGTATGATCCAGAGCTATCATCTCGACAATTTGGAGTTGAATTGTCCCGTTTGACTAGTGAAGACCGAACTGTTCCTTTAGTGGTGGAAAAGCTTATAAACTATATTGAAATGCATGGACTATACACAGAAGGTATTTACCGAAAATCTGGTTCAACTAATAAAATCAAGGAACTTCGACAAGGTCTAGATACAGGTAAGATGGTACCCTCCAAATCAAGACCAAATTTTAAAATTTAAATAGGTCATTTTGTGCCCTTAAAGTTTTCATTACATGTTGATCATTTTCTTATAGCCAGAAGAATGTAATCTTTTTCTGTGGTGCTTATTTATCAGTTTGTGGCTTTCTAAAGAGATATATATTTATATATCTATAGATATATAGATATAGATATATAGATATATAGATATATGTACACACATACACATATATATAATGTTTTTATTGATTTTAGAGAAAAGAGGAAGGAGGCGGGAGGGAGAAAAAGACAGAGACATCAGTGTGCAAGAGAAACATCTGTTGGTTCTTTCCCTTATGTACTCAGAGACTGAACATGCAACCTAGGCTTGTGCCCTGACCCCTAATTGCACCAGCAACCTTCTGGTGCACAGGGCTACACTCAGCTAACTGAACCACACTGGCCAGGGCTAGAGAGTTGTTTTGATGTGGTCAATTCAGCAAACATGTATGGAGTTGTCATTTATACAAGGCATTATTAGTTACTTCAGACAGATCTCATTTAATCTTTTTAATAATCTGGTAAGATTATGATATCTGTAATTCGCAAAGAAAAAAAATCTAGGCTCAGGGAAATTAAATAATGAGCTATTGATGTTGATGCAGGGCACTGAGCTATTGTTGTTATATAATAATCTTCACAACAGACCTGTGAATTAGGCATTATTATCCCTATTTACAGATAAAGAAACAGATTTATTTATTTATTTTTAATTCTTACCGAGGATATTTTTACATTTATCTTCAGACAAAGTAGGAGAGAGAGAGAGAGAGAGAGAGAGAGAGCGAGCGCGCAACATCGCTGTGAGAGAAACACGTCAATTGGTTGCCACCCAAATGACCCCAACCGGGGCTGGAGACTAACTGCAACCAAGGTATGTACCCTTGGCCAGAATCGAACCCAAGACTCTTTGGTCCACAGACCAACACTCTAACCACTGAGCCAAACTGGCCAGGGCTACAGGGGATCATCAACAGTAAGTAACCAAGCTGAAATTTATCCCCAGATCTTCTGAATTCATAATCTGAACTATTGTCTGTTAGTCTCTATTGTTCTGACTCCAAGTGCTGTTTCCAATTCATCTTCCTACCTTCCTACATTGATGAGATAGTTATTTAAACTGATAATTAGTGGGTTGAACATGTTTCTGTGTACAGATCTAGCCACATCTCTGGAATGTTTCTAGGGGTTTGACTTTGATTTTATTCTCAATTTCTACTCTTTACTGCTATTGGGAAGAAATAGGTCTTTTTCAATCACACTTATGTACAAAACCTGTCTCTACATAGTCAAGAACTTACCTGCATACTTTTCCTTTCTAGTTTTTTTTTTTTAAATGAACAAATCAGTGAGAAATTAATCAATATGGAAATAAAAACGGAAAATGCCTGGTAAAATTCAAGTAGGAGGTTCTGCCTACAGAGACTCAGTCTACTCCAGTTTAAAGGCAATTGTCAGTTTATCTCTTGTAGGTTGAGTCAGCACAAATGAAAAACCAATCATCCTGTATCCTCCCAATCATCTCATATGTGAATCGCATCTGTATAAACTCCTTGGAGAGTTTATAAGTGAAACAGAGTAAAGGTGTTTCCTTTACATTTCCTAAATTCAATTATTATTCTCCTTTCATTTTTAAGAATGACTTACAATCAGGCTTACTTTTAGAAAATGTCCTCTGGGCCCTTTTTCCATTTGTCATCTAAAGCACTGTTACTCAAAGTGTGGTTCAAGACTAATCCATAGCAAGATAAGTACAGAAATTGAGAGTAAGCATTTAAAAACTGTTAGACCAGGTCCCTGGCTGTTTGGCTCAGCGGTTAGAGCATAGACCTGCAGTCCAGAGAGACCTGTGTTCAGCTCCCGCTAAGGGCACGTACCTCGGTTGCAGTTTGTCCCCAGCCCTGCAGGTGGCAGCCACTCGATGTGTCTGTCCCCTTCTCTCTCTCTCTCTCCCTCCCTCCTACTCTATCTGAACAAAAAATGGAAAAATGTCCTCGGGTGGTAAGGGGGAAAAAAACAAACAAAACTGTTAGAGCAATTGAACAATGCTTTGACATGAAAATGTGATCTTTTATTTTACACATGGATCACTTTACAACAGATTTGGAAAAAAAAACTGTTCCTTTACTACAATGAGAAGCACTGTTCCAAAGCATGTTGTTAGATTGTAGAAGATATGTCAGTCTGATTGAAAACATGAAGACTTCTTGTGATAATTATTGTTTCTAAAGTAGATTATTTGAATCCCTTTGCATGTTTTGTCTCTGTTATCTAACTCTTATCTATAAATAGATGCTGAAAGTGTAAATCTAGATGACTATAACATACACGTCATTGCAAGTGTATTCAAACAATGGCTTCGTGATTTACCCAATCCACTCATGACCTTTGAGCTCTATGAGGAATTTCTTCGAGCTATGGGTAAGCACAAGCTTCCTGGGTTTGAAGGAAGGCCTACACATGGGAAACAAATTCTATCTTCTTTAATAGAGTATTTAAGCATCCTCTAGTGGTTTAGTCATTATAGATCCAAAAGTAAGCTTTTGATAGTCATTATAAAACAGCCAGTACATGTCAAGTTTTTTAGACTCATTAAAATATCAGTGTCCTAAAAGGTTTCTGAGTTGCTTCTCATAAACAGATTGCAAGACTAGGGTTACAGACAAATTTAAAAGAGTAAATAGGATATTTAAGGGTTGGTTTATGATCATTTAAGTTGTGAATCTAGGCAAGAATTCTGTGGAAAGGTGGCTGTCTGTTTTATGCCAGGCCTAACAGGTTATGGAATTTAGTTTTTCAGTACTACAGATGTGTAGATTATGGATGAAGTTCTAGAAGTATTTAGTTCCTGAGGCATGGCTTCTCTAAGTCTCATAAGACTGATTTATAAATTATGTGACAGTTGATTAATTTTAATGAGGGATCTGTTAGCCACCAAATGCATGAAAAACAAAGTGATCTATTCCCCCTTGCTGTAATTAAGGATTACTGGATATAGATTAAAACTCAGGAGACTGCTTAGTGAAAATAGAACTCAAGCAATGCAAGATTAGTAACTGAATTACCTGCCACACAGGCACAACTGCCTCTCCTGAAACTTTGGAGCCACTCTCCCCTGCTATGTAGTATATAAGAGGGGATATTCAGTCTTATTTGCTGTTCGTACTGTTTTCAGGGCTTCAGGAGAGGAAAGAGACAGTCCATGGTGTATACTCTGTGATTGACCAGCTCTCCCGAACTCATCTCAATACACTGGAACGCCTAATTTTTCATCTAGTCAGGTAACTTCAAGAAGCAAGGGAATGTTTAACAGTTCCTTTTGGATTCTTTAAAATAACTGAGGAGCTCCTCCATTTGGAAAACTGACAGATCTTTTCCCCCCTGTGTATGAAGTCAGTGCCTCAAATAGGTAATTAGCAATTCCTTGAAGCAGATATCCTCAGACTAGTTGGACTGTACGGCAGGTGCTTCTCTGCTCTATTTGAGTCAAGTAACAACTTTAGCCTCAGGGTGGCACTGTGTAGCCTGACTTATTATTTAAATCCTGAGCTAGAAAGTTTGTGTGTCTGTTGACATAAACTAATTCATAGGAGGTAGGTTCAGATGGTGCTTAGGAATTGACTGAACAAAGAGGATTCAGAAGTCTCTCATCCTCTGAATGTAAATATCAGCAGTATTTGGGAAGAACGCTATCTTTCTTTTTGGATAAATAAGGCTATCTGAAAATGCCTTAAAGTCTCTGCTCTGCATTCTTCAGACATGGTCATCTAGTAATGGTGACCTTCCCTTGATAAGCTATCTGCTGGCCTACATTGCTTCAAGGAAGGAACACAGTAAAAGTGTTTTCTATAGGTAAAGGAACAGATTTCAGAAAAGCCTACAATATTTCCCTTCAACTGTTATGAATATCCTTCAGTACTATGCATTTGATATTATACCTCTTCTTTCTCATCTCTTCCACCTACCTCCCTACTATTTTCCCTTTTTATCCTTGTTTCACTTAAGGTTTTTTTTTTCTTAGGATTGCTCTGCAGGAAGACACTAATCGAATGTCTGCTAATGCTTTGGCCATTGTGTTTGCACCCTGCATCCTCCGCTGCCCTGACACCATTGACCCACTACAGAGTGTGCAGGACATCAGTAAGACTACCACGTAAGGCCAGCAGTCACCGTCACCTTTACAAGACCCCAGGGACTTCTGAGTCAGTGTAGTCACTTTATCCAGATATCAAACATAAGGAATGATTCTATAAGCTCAGATCATTTTAAAAAGATTTCTGGACACCTTGGATTTTTAATGCTGAAGATGAAAAAAGTTCTTTAGAGTCTGTTTAAGTGAGCATCATTTGTTTTGAGGGATTTATTTATTTATTTATTTTTTATCCTCACCAGAGGACATTTTTCCATTTTTTGTTCAGGTAGACTGGGAGGGAGAGAGAGGAACAGAGAGAGAGAGAAACATCGATGTGAAAGGAACACATCGAGTGGCTGCCACCCGCACAACCGACCAGGGCCGGGGACAAACTGCAACTGAGTTACGCGCCCTTAGCGGGAACCGAACCCGGGTCTCTCAGGACCGCAGACCGACGCTCTAACCGCTGAGCCAAACCGGCCAGGGCGGGATCTTATTTTTTAAATTTGGCTTTTCTTGCCCTGGCTGGGTGACTCAGTTTGCTAGAGCCAATATGCCAAGGTCGCGGGTTTGATCCCCAGTCAGGGTAGATACAAGAATCAGCCAAACAATACATAAATAAGTGGGACAACAAATTAATGTCTGTCTGTCTCTGTCTCTCTCTCTCTCAAACCAATCAGTAAAATAAATAAGAAACAAATAGTTTAAAGCAAAGTGTCAAATCTTTTTAAAAAATAAAATGAAATTTGGCTTTTCTTTAGGAATTCTATAGTTTCTAAATATATTTTAAAATTCTTGCCCTGACCAGTTTGGCTCAGCGGTTGGACCAGAGAGTCTTGGGTTCGGTTCCTGCTAGTGGCACATACCAAAACAAAAAAAAAAATTCAATTTGCCAATTTACGTATACTTTGTATCTTTCTGTTATCTAGTCTAACTGTGGTCTTATTGCTCTGAGTCCCTTTGTTCTTTATCCTTAGTATTCCTGTATTTCACCTTGGCCTTTTTTTATGAACCTCTACTTTCCTTCTGGATTGGTGGGTTTTAACCTTGACTACAAAAGGAGCTTTAAAGAAATACTGGTGTTTGTGTCCTATCCCAGAAAGTCTGGTCTGATTTAATTGTTCTGGGGTGTGGTCTGGGCTTTGGAACTTATAACCATTCATCAGATGGGTACTGAAGTGCAGCCAAAGTTCTGAACCACCATTCTAAACCCTGTCCGTGAGCTCATAAAACAAGGGATGTTGATTTTTCTTTCTTCCACCTACCATCTACCACACTTAGCTGAAAAAAAGTCTGTGGGTGCTATACTTTGATTTACTTCAGCTCTTAACAGTTTTCTCTCTTTCCTCCTGTTTTAGCTGTGTGGAGCTGATTGTTGTGGAACAAATGAATAAATATAAAGCTCGTCTCAAAGACATCAATAGCCTGGAATTTGCTGAGAATAAGGCAAAGACCAGGTTGTCACTGATTCGTAGATCAATGGTAAGATGCACGACGTGGAATCACGGGAAAGTGGGAGCCTTCCTGGGATTTTAAGTGTACATTTATGGTAGAGAGAGAGCTTATTCTCTGAATCTTTTTCACATGGAGCAAGTAAAAAAGAAATCAAATCTCTGGGTACTATGGATGCCTCATGCTTGATCTCTTAGCTCTTTTTATTTGTGTGTACAAAAATATATGCAGTTTAAACATGTAGGATTTTAAAAATCAAGTATTTGGATAAAATGTTGGTAATTTAATAATCTTCCCAATTTTCTTTTCTTATTCTTTCTATGAAAACTTAGAACCTGTCTTAACTTTTTCTCTGCTTCCTTCCACCATCTGTTCCTACACTCAACCATGTCACTTTTGGTGGTCCTGCCAATACTCCTGGGATGTAGAGAACTTAACCAACTGCAAAAGTATGATTTATAAGGAAATGAAATTCCATCTATGAGTCTACCATTATCAAATAAAGATTCTTTAAGGGCTTATTGTTAGGTTTTGAGAAAAGCCTTGCAAAAACGATAATTTATTTCCTCCACTTGCCCACTTTTCTGTTTACTATTTTCCTTTGTAACCAGTGACCTATATATAGATAATTCCAGTTGTCACTGACCATTAATCAGTAGGATCTGGGTAACTGGAAAGCTACTATGAATTAAAGTTTAATTATTGCCCATTTTCTACTCTTCCCCTCAGTTGTAAAATAAAATTGTACTGTTGAACGCCCACTTAGATCCCCAGGAAATCTCTAAAGAGAAGCAGGCTTCCCCATCATTACCTGTGCTTTTCCAGGGACCCAGCAGTAATTCCTCCATATCTTCATAGTTTATATTTAGATTAATATAAAATAACTCTGTTCTTCCTTCACTGTCGAAATTGCCTGGCATAGAACAAGTGCTCAACAAATGCCTGTTGATTAAATTAGAGAGGGTCTTTTCTAAAAACAAACAGAAACATAGACTTTTTCCAGGCAGTAAAGGTTTCAAGTAAAGCCCATTGCAGGACAATATCTAAATCTTTTTCCCAGAAAATGAAAAAACCCATTTAAAAGTGAAATACTTTCTCTGTAGTATATATTTTCAGGAGCTCAGTTCTAAGAGGTTCAGTTTAGCAGTGCTCAATCAGGGAGGAAGGGAATAGACCTTGTACTAAAAACTTACTTTTCAAAGCAGATAGACAAGCTGTGCTTTTTTTGCTGATGCTGCAGAATGAGTCCATTGAAAGATTAAACCTTCTCTTTTAATGGGGTAATGACATGTACATTCTAACCTTCTGCTTTCCTTTTCATGTCCTTCCTAATCCAGAAACCTGTACTAATTGCAGTTAGATTTATGAGCATTACCCGCAGTTCAGTCTCGGTATGTATTAATATTGCATTGTGTCACAGCCACTCTACATTATTGTCTCTCATCCATCCAAGAGTTCTACTGTCTGTCATCCATACTTGTCCATCCTCCATGTGCAGCCCAAATTCAGGTCCCACTTCTGACCAGCCTTCACTTGCTTTTCTCTTACTCTCTTTCTTCAGAACCTTCATTTTCCTTCCTCTGTATCATGCAGTTGAACAGTCTCCATTTACAATATACTCATTTTTCCTCTTTGTCATATAAGCCTCTTTGTGGCTTCTTCTTTGGTTGGATCATTAAAAGGTGAATGTTGAAAGCATTGAGTTATCAAATTAACTTCTGCTTTCTGGGCTTTGTTCTCATTAGTCTCCTTCACTTTATTACTTGAAATACCTATTGCTACTTCCAGCTTCTCCATTATTAGTAATGGTTATATGTCTGTTCAACTCTGTGACTTTGATGGTGTCTTCCCAGATATAGAAATATGGCTCTTATCCAATTAGTATTTTTCAGACAGAGCAGCAACTAGAAGTGATACCGACTTAAATATCATAGTATATTAGAGCTCATACCTGGATTTTATTCATTATACAAAAAATAAATGGAGAGTTGGAAAGCTAAAAACACCAATATATAGGGAAACTAATTTCAGAGACTATCTATCTATGTGTAATTAGTTTCTTGAGGATCTCAGCTTGCTGGCATAGAAATACAAATCCGTTTTGCTTTTTAGCTAGTAACTATCTTCTAACTCTACCATGCCAAACTCTCTTTTCCTACTGGATATCTACTACCTTAACAACATCTTGTCACTATTCTATAACATTCAAATGCTCTAGTTTCATTCCAGTATTTAAGATTTACTTAGTTCTCTTCATATTATAACTTCAGTCACGGGCTTGGTTAGTACTCTTACCACTTTATCCCAAGACAAACTGAACTTAATCTGGGGCTGAAAACTTTGGGGGTGGGTGAGTAGGGTTGTTTGTGGGCTTTTTTAATTTTTAAAAAATTTTTTAAAAAGGACACCTCTGGCCCTGGCCGGTTTTGCTCAGTGGTTAGAGCCTCAGTCTGTGGTCCAGAGAGATTTGGGTTCGGTTCCCGCTAAGGGCACGTACCTCGGTTGCAGTTTGTCCTCGGCCCTGGTTGGGTTGTGCAGGAGGCAGCCACTCGATGTGTCCCTTTCGCATTGATGTTTCTCTCTCTCTCTTTCACTCTATCTGAACAAAAAATGAAAAAATGTCCTCGGGTGAGGATTAAAAATAAAAAAGGACACTTCTGTCCTTTTTCTTGTGCTTCTTCCTCTGGTGTTGAAGCTGGGAGGAATGATAGGGTAGGCAGAACTCTGCATGATGTGGCATGCAGAGGTGGCAGTCCTCTTTCTTGATTGTTCCACAGTAAAAGCTAAATGAAGATGAGTAGTAGCTCCAATTTACCCTGCTGATAGTGAGCTCAATCCTATCCCATTTCCATAGGCATTGGCCATCCCTTGCAAGACTTGATCACATCTTATGGCTAAATGTGACTAATGGTGTTCACACCTAGTGACTCCGATATGCTTTTTTTTTTTTGCAAGACTTTAGCCAATCAAATTTACCTCTCATTGCCAGTTCTAGGGCCTACAGGCACATTTTTTTTTTTTAATGCCTCTTGAGAACCAACAATGCAAGATGGGCAGTAGTGTTGCCTATCTCTCTATCTGACACTTCCACATCATACTGTCTCTCCTTTTCTCTTTTCTCCTGTCTATATAACAGCGAGTCTTTTGCCAATACAGGTATCCAAACAGATAATGAAATCCCAGGGTGTCTTTCTTTTAGACTACCTCAAACTTTGATTCCTACCCTCTGGATACACATATAACTGCTTTTTCCCCAAAGAGAGGATGGAATATCCTCTTTTCATAAATTCTATGTTACCCTCAAAGTCCAATAAACCCCTCTTTTTTTTTCAGCCTTTTTAGATTCACATTGAGAGGTGTTACAATATTGACAGTAGGGTTGGTTCAATAAATCGGTGCCTCACAGCCCTGAGAAACGAGGCTGATACCAACTACTTTTGGCTCCTTAAAGCTAGAAGGGGTGCTTAATTTAGGCTTTAGCCACAATACTGAAACAAGATGAAAAATCCCATTTAACATCCTATTGTATATGCATTTAGCTGTAAAAAAGACTTTAGACCCTCTAGGACATATTTGGTATTCAGTAAGCATCTGTGGAATTGAGTCTAAGAATTGAATGTAGAAGACTTAGCGGTTTTAAGGATATCCACTAAAAAACTGACTCATCAAAGTTAATAATGTTCATGTATTTATAGATTTTTAAAAATTGCTATTTCAAATACAATAGTGGCTTTTCTGAAATGAAGAGTGAACTGCATTTATAAAAAGTATGTTTTGTTTTGTTGTTAATCCTCACCTGAGGATACCTTTTTCCATTGATTCCAACTGGGAATTGAACCCAGAGGCCGATGCTCTAACCACGGAACAATACCATCAGGGCAAAAGTATGTTTTATTATTGCCAGTCATTTGAGTTGGATACTGAAAGATGAGCAGTAGTTTAACAAATGGAGAAAAGAAAGAGGGGGAAGACAATTCCAGAGGCAAGGCGCATGGCACCATAATCTATGAATAGATACTTTGTATAGCTAGAACAGATATGGAAGTGTCAGAAGACTTTGGAATGGTAGATTAGAACCAGGTGTGCAACATTAAGAATTTAAAATTTTCTACCTTGAAGCACTTGGGAACTATAGGAAGGTTTTTAAGTAAGGGAATATCACCATCAATGTGTCTTTTAGAAGAGAACTGGTAGCATTCTAAAGAACTGGTAGATTAGAGATGGGCAAAACTGACAGCCATATATCAGTTAGGAGGCTCTTGACTGACCTGAATTGTAGTCATTTCAAATTGAAATGTTTTGAAAATATAGATGACCCTTGAACAACATGGATTTGAACTACACTGGGTGGGGCCACTTATACATTGGTTTTATTCAATAAATATCCACTCAGCCCTCCATATCACGAGGTTGGGAATCCACAGATGTGGAAGGCTGATTGCATGCATTGTTCTATGCCATTTTATATAAGAGACTTGAGCATCCATTGATTTGGAGCAGGAGGTACAGGAACCAATTCCCCATGGACACTGAGGGACAATTGTAGCAAAATTTTGGCGGAGTCAAAAGTTATATGTGGATTTTTAACTGCATGTGTGGTTGGCACCCGTAATCTCCATGTTGTTCAAGAGTCAACTGTATCTGTTTCTGCTATCATGTGGTAAGTGGTTATTAGATTTATGGTACATAACTTTGACTAAGCTATTCTCAGACTAAGACTGCAGAATATGCCATTCATATATTTGTCTTCTTTAACAAATCTTTTTGTTACTTATTTATGATATAATTCCAAGCATAAATATTGATTTAGCATTACTTAAGCTAATATAATATGAAGAACATAATTTGAAATAAAGTTTATTAATCTGTAAAACCCTGCCCTGGCTGGTTTGGTTCAGCCATTAAAGCATTGGCCCACAGCCCAAAGGGTCACAGGTTTAATTCAAGAAGGACATGATATCATGTCTCTCTCTCTCTCTCTCTCCCCTCCCTTCTTCCCTCCCACTCTATCTGAAAATCAATGGAAAAGT